TATTGCTGCCTTTAATATAATGTAATTACCCCAGGGGTCGCAATCCAATAGAACTAGTAACTATAAGCTACTATAGTAACTATATAGTATATAGTAACTATAAACGACTATTTTTATTTTCAGTATAGTTATGGATAAAATATGTTAATTCTTATGGTTTAATAAAAATAAATAGATTTTTGAAAATCACCAGGCGACCCCCCTTCATTGCCCCGCGACCCCTCGGGGGGTCCCGACCCCCACTTTGAGAACCACTGTGTTAGGCTACTTAATATTGAGGAAAAGCCCCAATCAGAGAGGCAAACGTCTGCAGCCCCGCCTCCGTTTTCAGATGTCTCCGTTTTCCATCATCCACACTGAGACGAAGCAGCAGCGTTTCAGAATGAAAACAGCCTCTCCAGCGTTTTCGAAACGCTCCGTTTTCGGCGCTCGAGAACTCCGGCGTAGTGTTGACGGATGGCGTAACCGTAGCAAAACTTATGCGTTTTCAAACTAAAACACATTAGTGTAAACGGGGCCTTAGAGTTTTCCAGCTCTTTTCATCCCCGCTTCTAGCAGCACACTCCATTTCCGCATTACTGGATCTGTAGCGACAACAGACCGCAAGGGATGATGGTCAAGCATGGGCTGATGGGAATTGTAGTTTTCGCTACCTCCCGTTCACTTCATTCGCCTGAGCAAATTTTCTCAGAAGACCTATAGTTTTACCGAGTCATGCGACTTCGGTAATATCGAAAAAAATTAATATTGCGGTATGACGGTATTTACAATACCGTTACATCCCTAGTAAATACTGATTTTTATTTGGTTTGCATGTGTACCGAAGATTTCTATTCTCACAGAGTGAAGTATTTTCTAAGTGTAAAGCAGTTAATTTTCTCTTCTCAAAAAGTATTGTGTTGTGTTTGCAGCAAACATGCCAACCTGTGGTAAAAATACTACTGTGTAAGAGGAGTATGCCTGCACAGGAGCAACACAGGGAGAAGGCTATGCTGAAGAATGACTGAATATGTAAAGCACTGATTATATATGTCAAATACTCATATGAAGCTATACATGTCAGAATCTAGAGTAACATATTATAAAGTTACTGTACCATCATGACAATTTATGTAAATACATGATGGTACAGTATTTATGAAAAAGTTCTTTTGGATAAGTTGCATCTATGGAGAGAGAACTTTGGTTTCAAAACAGTGGCTGACAGACCTGTGACATCTCTGCTGACCATAGCAAGCTGGCAGAGAGCCAAGAATAACAGGACCACCTAGAATAAGAACTTATCCTAAAACGGTCAAAAGTTAAAATGAGACATCTAGGGGTGTGTCAAATAACCTGTATCCGCTTGTTAAGTGTAACGTCACGAGAAGTGGCTTCCAGGTCCAAGCGCTCTATTCAACTGTATGGGGAGATTCATAAAATGGTAATAATAAACGTTTACAAAGCGATTTAATACATTCGAAAATCACGATCGCAATATATATGTCCATGCATAATATACGATGGCCAGAAAGTGATTCAGGGCCTGTACTTTACCAAAAATAAAAATATAACATTTCTCATTATTCACAATTAGGGCTGGGCGATTTTTTCGATTCATTTTAATTTACGTTTTGACAACGATTTAATTTTATATTAAATTAAGAAATCACGATTTTTAAAAAATATATATATTTAATACATTATAATGGCACCAATGCGCTTTGGTTCACTCTGTATGAAGCAGGAAGCACACCAGAAGCGCCTCTCGGCGACGCACCGCGCAGCACCACGCAGCGCCATGGATTTTAGAATTCTAAACAGGTTTCTATACACACACCGGCGCCAATCAGCCATGATTCAGGACGCAGTTCATATTTCAGCCGCAGCAGAGAGCGCCATCTGATTAGTTTCATGTTAAATATCATGCGAATATACGCGTTTGGTGTGTGATAGTTTAAACTGTCATGTCCGCGTCGTGTCGCTGTGCTTCTGGTGTGCGACCTGCTTAACTGTTTGTTAAAGCGTGAAGTAATGTAGGATTTTACTTGTTGCATTAGTCGGAGTCACGTCTGTGTGGATTGTCAAGACATTCCCTCATCAAGTCGATAAACTCGATCTCAACATGTAGGAAGTACTTAAAACCCTGCCCTGTGTAAAACCGCAGCGATCTTTTGGTTTGAACACGAGCAGAGGTGAGGGCCTGTAGCAGTGAAAATGAAAGTACCCGCCCCCATGACGTCAAATAAAATAAAAATAAAATAAATAAAAAAAAGTAAATAAAAATAATTTAATTATTATTAAAGCTCTTGGATTAAATCCAAAATATCTTCATTTGAAGATCATTAATGACAGAATTTCAATTTTTGGCTGAACTAAACCTTCAAGTAGCAGTAAACCTCACAAATACTTAAAATTGATTGACTTAAAACTGCTTGAATTCAAATTTTATTAAAACTGTTTGCACTAATATATCGTGTTAACTACACTTTGTTCATTTTGTGCTTTTGTTCCTTTGTTAATTGTTCTTAGAGATGAGCCTGCTGTGAAAAGTGTCACAAACATCCCGAAAAAATAAAACCAGTTTCTCAGAGATGATGAGTTTTTTTAATCTTGTTATAATATATTTCTTAAAATAAAAGTATCGAAAAAAGTATGGTTTGTAACCGGTATCGAATTCAGGGTATCGGTATCGAAAATTTTGGAATGATACCCAGCCCTAACTGTAACACATAAAGGCCTTTGTCCCGCCCTTAAGTTTCACGCAAAACTAGACAAGGTCAACTGTGATTGGTCACTTTTCATGTCAGTCTGTTTAGGTCTATTTTAACAGCAAGAATAGATCCGATGAATCCGAACAAAGACATTTTTTTTTCAGTTTTTTTTTCCAGCCCCGTCAAAACAAAAGTTTCACAATAATTTTTCAGTTAGGGATTAAAATTAGAGTATCTTAATAAAAACGATTAGTTGGACACTGCACAGTCCCACAGTCTACACTATAAATAATATTAAAATGTATTATATTCATTAATATTATTATTGTCATTATATTTATTATTATTCTAATACTTAGGCTATAAAATTGACAAAATGCAGAACCCTTAAAAATATTTGCTTTCATTTTGACATCGCTAAAGCTCACTTTTACAGTTGTGTAAAGAAACATCCCACTATACAGCAGCAGTCTCAGGTTTAGACACTTAAAAAATGCCTTTTGAGTTTAAAGATGATCGGCCTGCGAAGTCAAGTTTACAGTGTCATAAATGTAAAGGGTATTAGTGCGTGAGCATGTGGATGCACCTCTTACATGCGCTGCAGGCTGAATGATAATCTAGGTAGGTAGACAGGCTCTCTGCTTTGCTACACTAATGCCTTAAAATGTAACTAAGTAACACATTATTTTTAGCAACTACTATTTTTAAATGGCATTCAATTGTAACCTAAATCTTTTTTTCCTAAGGCTGATGGTTGTTATGATTTAGTTTAGCTTGCATGTGTGGACATAGTTTGAAGTCTTTACGGAAAACTTTAAACATTTATATTTTTTTAAAATAAAACGGAAAGAAATAAGGAGACTAACCTTTTAATTTAAACCACTTTTTGGTGCTTAAGCCTTGATCTGTCTGCATTAATGTAAACGGTATCATTGCCTAACCTTCATTGATAAAATCGGTTATAGCGAAGCTGTACATATTATTATTAATGTAAAATGTATATTGCTGCCTTAAGTCAGTAACTTAGGCGGTAATGCAAAGTAATACAGTAATAAATAGCCTAAATGAAAGGATCAAGAAGGACCAAAATCAGTCATCAGGTCAAGTGCAATGGGATTAAAATGCCCCCTCACTTATGACATGCTGGCGCCGGGCCTGCTATAGCAATACTTTATTGTTTAAGAAGAAACAAAAGAGGAAACTGTGGATGAAGACCTGGCTGGGGAGACGGCGATAACATGAATTATCTGTTCTTCAATGAGAAAAGATCGCAGACACGACACTGTGCCGATATTTATCATACAACGCAGGTCGTGTTTATGATAATTAATATTAATAACTAATATTAATAACATATCAATAACTCCTCTCGCTTTAGACTTTACCTTTTAGAGCTTGTTCTTGTCAGCGCAATATGGGCTGGGATTATTGCATGCACGAATCGGATTATGAAGAATGATTAAAAATGATTAAGATGCTTTTCCTTCACTGCATGCTTTCCGTAAGGTGTTTTATTTATTTATTATTTAATTTTAAATGATGGGGACAATATGCACTGGTAAAATGTTCCTCCTGTACCACCAACAAATTACACCCCTGTACCCAAGAAGCCTACCTAATTTATAATTTATGTAAAATTATTCATGTTAGTAAATTATTCATGTTAACCAACCTTTATCTTGACAATAAATTATAATACCAATTACTTTCAAGAGTTACCCATAATTTAACACCTTTTTCCACAATTCTACGGTTACCCACATGAAAAATACTACAGTAACTTACAGTTAATACTGTAGTGTTTTTGAACTACACTATAATAAAGTGTATTGTACAACTGTGTTATTGAATGCGCAGCAGTAACTATGGTGAAATGAGAAAATGCTCTGCATACTGTAGTAAACATGAGTTTTTACTGCAGTAAACTGTGCTGTGTTGTAATATAGTTGTTGTAAATGTAGTACAGTGTTGGTGTTTTGTATTTATACTACACTATTTACTATAAATGACTACAGTATTTGTCCATGAGGGTGAAATGAGTGAACACAGCATTTCATTTGCCGCTAATAAAGATCAGACAAATCCTGAAGTATAAGAATGTGTGAAAGTAAACAGGAATCATAACCTGTGCTTTTACCGCGAGAAGCTTTTACATCGAGAGCTTTAATAAAGAGGTTAGTGGCCAAAACCAAGCAAAAACAAAGCTGAAAACCGACACTGAAGAGGAACACAGCCGAGAGAAAAACACTTGAATATTGAGAAAGTAGGAATCTGAACTAATAAATAAGGAGAGAAACACAACGTTACCTGTTTACATATGAACACGGTAAAAGTCCGCTATTCCTGATCGCTTTCACAGAGGAATTGACAGTCAAGAGCCAGGATATAATGAAGAAAGGCAGGAGTTGTGTCGTGTTTGCTAAATAATCTCTCTAGAGTTGATAAAAGCTGAAGTGTAGCCTCTTTGTTTCTTCTCATCTTCAACACGAGTTTAATGTTGCTTGTTCTGAGCTTTTCCTCCAGCGCCTCCGCTATCAGTGTGCTGTGTACTACTGCCATCTAGAGGACAATCACAGCAACAGCGACTTACAGCGGTCACCGGGCGCCAGGAGGAAATCAGCTTCAGTCAAATTAATAATTTCAGAATCAATGTTCAGCAGACAATAAATAAATAAATAAAGAACCACCAACAAAAAACATTGAATACAACTGCTTGTTTTAGTTCAACTCATCATAGGACAAACAAAACCAGTTTAATTGACAGCAGACACCACACATGAACTAATACTATAGTAAATAGTGAGCGGAGGGAAGCAGCAAGAGTTTCTACTGCTCCACACTCCATGTGTTTTGTATCCGGCTCACTCCACACTGTAGGTTAAACTTCGCTGTTGTCATTACTAAAGAAATTAAGTTAATATAATTGACATTACTTAAAATATCAAGTTTTGGCATCAAAACCAAAACAGAAGTGTTTAACTTACTCATTAGGCAGCAAAAACCTTTAATTAATATTTTAAGTTCTCTAAATTTCACATTTTAACTTGTTTAAATGATTCACCACACTGTAAAGTGATTCATTACTTAAACATTTCAGCATCACAAGCACAATGAGCACCTTGTGTCATCATATAACACATATCAACCAATCACTTTTGACAGTGTCAAGACTATTTTAGCACGTCTGTTTTCAAATAACGACATATTACATACATATTACATATTTGGTGCTTCATTAAGTTTATAAGATCTACAATTATAGCCGGAAAAAAACAAATATAGTAAATATATATTGGTGTATTGGGAAAAAATGATTAGTTTACTTTATTATTTAAAAAGTGAGTTCAATTAGCATAATTATACAAATAAAGTCAACTGAACAGTTACAATGGGTTTACTTACATTATCTTCGTGAAGTCAACTTGTTGTTTTTAAGGCAATTGGTTTACTCGCTTTAAGTAACAAATCACTTTTTACAGTGCATGTCTCTGTTTAAAAGGATTGGTTGCTCTTGAAGTTCTGGCTTGACACCTACGCTGATTGGTTGATATGTGTTATATGATGACAAGGTGCTCAGTGTGCTTGTGATGCTGAATTTTGCTGAAGCGCAGCAGGACAGAGGAACTACCTGAACCCATCTGACAAAAGAGGAAAGCTAAATCAGTATTAGAAATGAGCAGTTTTACTCAGAATAAAGGAAATACCACATCATATCATTCACTCCTGTTTCTGTTAAGTGTTTCATTATTTATTCATTCACTAAAGTGTGTTGTTTTCACTATAGGTTTGTCTGTGCTTTCATTTTTGTAATATTTTCTTTTATTTATTCAGCATAAACATACTCTTTATAAATACCTGAAGTGTGTTTTACTTTGTTCTAGCCTGACTACGGTAAATTTTCATTACGATTGCAGATTTACGATGTGGTTAAACCGCAGAAAGTGAGGGAAAAACCAAAGTAGATCAAAGTCTACCGTTTTACCTGTCCTCGATTAGAAACGGAGTCTTTACAGCCTTTATGTCACGGAAGAACTACAAATCTGCCACTTTAAAGAACTACATGTCCAGTCATGCACCGCTCACACACGCCTGTTCCTCATTTGGTTGATTACACATACAAACACGGTTGGGAGCTGCTCAGGAACGGATTAGAAAGACTTTATACACAAATAACATACACACACTTCAGTGCTGATTCTTATTATCTGTTGTTGTGACATTACGACGTGTAGTGGTAGACAAAACGAGGTTTCATGAAACTCTGAAACTGCAGAAGCAAATGTGTCGAGGCTTTGAAGAACTTTGAAACCTGTCTCTACAGTGACACCTAGTGGCCATTTTTTTCTGTATTGCTCTGGAACAGCTTCAGCAAAGAAACAGTTCAGCAATTTGATGTATTAAACCCCACGCGTGATTTAGTGGAGCGGTGAGAGTTCCTGACTAGCATGCAGAGGTAATGGGTTGGAACCCAGAGTGATGCTGTTATAAATATTAGTTTGTAATTGCTCTGTTCTTGTCACATGTTTTGTTTTAACATTGGTCTGACATCCGAATGAATACTGTGTATAAATATGTCTTGATTTTGGCTATAAAACAAAGAAACATTATTAAAAAACATCAAATCATAATTTCAGAGTATTTGTACAAGTCAGGATTCAAACTCAGACCATTTGCAGCACAGTTACTTTGTGCACATGTAACCCCGCTGGACCTACCCCACCCAACCCTCTCCAAACTGGTTTCGAACCGGCGACCTTCAGCATGGGAGTCGGTTGCTCCAACAAGGAGGCTAAAGACCATGGCCTCTAGCGTCTGGCACTAGAGCACCTTTAGAGGTCAGTGGAGTGAGGTTTACCTGCACAGCACTTACTAGGTGGCCTCCGTTACACACACACAATAGCCCACTAGGCTACATGACATAGAGGATTGTCAGTCAAACGCAGATGAGGCAAGTCTCGAAACGCTTTTAAAACCACCGAAGCTTTGAATCACTTTATACACGTGACCTGGTGTTTCAAATCTCCTTAATCACGTGACCTGGCTGTTTCGGATCATGCTTCTGTGCATTGTTTCACAACACTTGTGCTTTGGGATCTTGAAACTGTGTGGAAACATCAGTTTCACGTCATCCATCCCTAACGATGCGTTTTCCTTGCCGTGTTAGACCCTTGCCTTGTTTTATTGTTTATTCCTGTCTGCTGCCTGCCCTTTGACCCTCCGCCTGTTGTATGACCACGACCCTGGATTTGCCTGTATACATCCGTTTGCTCCTGTGTCGACCGCTGCTTGCCTGACCATTCTCTTGTAATAAACCTGCATGTGGATCTGCAATGACCTGGAAATGAAATAAAGGAATATTTGTAACACAAAGTATTTGAATGTTTCTTTAATTTGTTTCCTACTGTCGCTCACAAGGTTAAACCACATTATATAAAACTGCATGCAATAGTAAATACACTGTACTGAGTGGGCTAGGACAAATAATTGAGCAAATCTGTAATTTAGAAAGAGTTACTCTGTCTGTTTGATCTGCTTTAACTATTTCTATCAAATGCTGATGGCTTGACCACATTCCTCCTCATACCAATGAACAAAACAAAAACACCATTCAGAAACATCTTGCAAGAGTCGTGTTTGCATGGCTTCAGCAGTGTCCTCTTCATTTCTGTGTCTGACTCAAACTGATACGTCTTCACTGACATTATTTACAGACAGCATGCAGGAGAGGCATGACGTTTCCTGGTGATGTGGAGCCGACCCGCCAATCACAACACATTCAAGAGTTCACATTTAGCTGATGACTGATTATAAAGCATCTTTGGCATGCTGTCCCAGGAGAGAACACTGAGCTCATAAGATCCTCGAGCACAGGGCTCCCTCCCGTTTGCAGGGCGAGAACGCAGTTTGAGCTTAGGTGGGTCTCGAGAACCCCAACCCCCCTCATTTAGAGCTGAAGACAGATTATAAATTGCTTTATAGAGATTTGCTGCTGGTTAAGAGCTCAACTATAGTGCTGATTTAGATTTAGATAAACCACTTAGGTTAGCTGACTAATCAGAGCCCGTTGTGAGCGGGCCTTATAGATGGAACCAGGAAATATGATGGTCGTTTTCTGCTCAGTAGCTGTATAAAATTAAGGTAATATATGTTAACAAATCACATGATTTTTTACAGATGAATCACGAACACACATTGTTTTGCAGCCCTTAAATACAATCAAACCTTTAAAAAAAATACTGTGGACCACCCTGGTGACAACGCGGTCTGCCTTCAGCTCTTATTCTCAAACTCATTTTACTATGGAAGATCAAGTTGCTTGTGGTCTGGCTTTGCTCCACTCATCCACTGTGTGTCTATATGTCTGAAATATCCTGAAGCAGCAGCACTGCCAATGACGCCCACACCAGCCAAGACGCGCCGCGCTGCTCCTCATTGCTTATCGGCGCCGACTCTCATTGAAAATGAATGACTTCCGGCTACTTTGACGCTCTCGCCACTTTCTCTCTGGTGTGAATCCTCTCATGTATTTTCAGGCCTCCTAACTGTCTGAATCTCTTGTCGCAGTATGAACACTTGTAAGGTTTCTCTCCAGTGTGAATCCTCACATGTTGTCTCAGATTTCCTCCACCACTGAATCTCTTGTCGCAGTATGAACAAATGTAGGGTTTCTCTCCAGTGTGAACCCTCTCATGTTGTCTCAGAAGTCCTGAATCACTGAATCTCTTATCACAGTGTGAACACTTGTAAGGTTTCTCTCCAGTGTGAATCCTGACATGTTGTCTCAGATTTCCTCCATCACTGAATCTCTTGTCGCAGTGTGAACACTTGTAAGGTTTCTCTCCAGTGTGAGTCCTCTCATGTTGTCTCAGTTGTCCTAAACGCCTGAATCTCTTCTCACAGTATGAACACTTGTAAGGTTTCTCTCCAGTGTGAATCCTCGCATGTGTTTTCATATGTGCAAGCTGACTGAATCTCTTATTGCACAGTGAACAAATGTAAGGCTTCTCTCCAGTGTGAATTCTCTTATGTATTTTCAAACTTTCAGCTGTACAAAAGGTTTTCTCACACTCAAAGCACTTGTACTCTCCCACACCGGTGTGGATCTTCTGATGATTTCTTAAACTACGTTGATGTCTGAAACTCTTTTCACACACAGAACACGGATAAAGCTTCTCCTTTGTATGAACACTAAGGTGGTTCTTCAGCTCTGAATCCCTCAAAAATGTTTTGCCACACTGATCACACTTGTGTGTTTTCTCTCCAGTGTGGATCAGCATGTGATTATTAAGGGTTGATGATGCTCTGAAACTCTTCCCACACTGAGTGCATGTGAATGGTTTCTCTCCAGTGTGGATCCTCATGTGTTTCCCGAGACTCTGTTTGTTTGTTAGACTCTTTCCACACTGAGTGCAGGTGACACGTTCTTTGTCTTTTCTCTTTAGTGAGTCAGTTTTTTGACTTATTTTCTCGTGACGGTGTGTGTCCTCCATCAGGTCTGAAATAAAAATGAAAAGACTGCCATTTAAATGACATAACAGCACGCTGACACGGGCTGCCACGGCCAACCTGTGTAAATTCTGAAGAAGAATTAGTTGTTGATATTATTAATTTAAATGTACTTACCTAAATTCACAAATAAGTCATAAGTAGAATACTATGAGAAGGAGAAAATAATAATTCAATGTTGACCTGCTCTTTTGTCTATGAAGGTATTGTTGTCTCTTTGCTCAGCTCACCTCTTCATGTATTCAAATGTCAGGGGTTCATTCATGTTACACTAACAGTCACATATCATAATCTTAACCAAAGTACAGTCTGAGCCGATGGGAGCCATGATTGTTTGTTCATCACGTGACAGAATGACTCAAACCCGAGGACTCGAGACGTGAATGGATCAAATCTCTTTCCGGCTTTAAACGCATATGATTGGCCGGTAAGGAACACATAAGAAACGCATACGGCTGGGCCATGAGGAACGAATCACTCAAACGCGATGGAGGATTCGAGAGATGAACGGATCTAAACGCATACGACTGGGCCATGAGGAACGAATCACTCAAACGCGATAGAGGACTCGAGAGTTGAACGGATCAATTCTCTTTCCGGCTCTAAACGCATTTGATTGGCTTCTGCCTTTCCGCGATGAACGACTCAAAAGACTTTAAATGAATGATACCACCTGCACAAATGTGCGCACGCGCGCATGAAGGAATCACTCCCTGAGAGGACTCGTAGTTCCCGAGTCATATTGAAGATTTGTTCAAAATGAACGAATCGTTCAAGAACGACCCATCACTAATCAGCTTTTCAGAATCTTGTTTATTTAGCAACCCCATTATTTTGCTGCTTGACTTAATGTGTGTGTATTTTACAGAAAGGTACTTTAAAAGAAGAATATGTATTAATAATATTGTAGCTCAATAAGGAGCATGGATTAATGGTAGTATTGGGGTCTGTATAGTAAGCGTGTGTATGTAGTAATGTCTTTTGTTCATTTTGTTCATTTGTGTGTTTTATTAATTAATTCATTAATCTTCATTAACTTTAGACATGGCTATACTGCATGTTGTATTCAATTCAATTCACCTTTATTTGTATAGCGCTTTAACGATGTAGATTGTGTCAAAGCAGCTACACATAGAAGATCATAGTAAATTGGAACAGAGTAGTTCAGTATTTAGTGTTTAAGTTCAGTTCAGCTCAGTTCAGTGTGGTTTGATATTCACTACTGAGGGCCTAAACACTGAAGAGCAAATCCATCGATGCGTATCTCTATCGATCCCAAACCATGCAAGCTAGTGGCGACAGCGGACAGGGAAAAACAATAAGTGCAATAAGAGTGTTACGAGAACCAGCGACCGCTCTCCGGAGATCGCTGGTTTTCACTATAACCATGGACTACACTTCCGCCTTCCTCTGGACTACATATGCAGACATGCACTTCTCCCAGACACTCACGCCTGCTCACTCATCTAGACTGATTACACTCGCCTCACATGAGGACTTTGAGAGACTGATTAGACACCCTTCATAAGCCATTCATTCACTCATTCAGTTGGCCGAGTCTTGTTCGCTCTCAGTGACATTACAATGCGTTTCTCCTTGTCTTGTTTCTCCGTGTTTTAGACCCTAGCCTAGGTTATCCCTGTTCACCTGTTTAGCCGCCTGCCTTTTGACCTATTGCCTGTTATACGACTACGACTCTGGATTTGCCTACATATATCTGTTTACACCTGATTTGACCATTGCTTACTTGACGCTGAATAAACCTGCATATTGGTAGTGGTGGGCAAAGCGAGGCTTCGTGAAACACTGAAACAGTCAAAGCAAATGTGTCGAAGCTTCGAAACGTTTCGAAACCCCACTCTACAGTGACACCTAGTGGTCATTTTTTATGTGTCGCACTGAAACAGCTTCAGCAAAGAACAGTTGAGCCAATTGAGGCATTAAACCCCACTTTTCATGCTTCAGCCTTCAATTAACATAGTGGGGTGGTTAAGGTGTTTGACTGCCATGCAGAGATAGTGGGATCAAATCCAGGCTGAAATTGTTTTGAAATGCTTCAATACCCAGTTGGTAATGCTTTGCTCTTGTATCGTTTTGTTTCAACATTGGTCTGATATCTGAATAAACAATTTGTGAATAAATATGTCTTGTTTTGGTCTTAAAACAGGGATCTAATGCTAGATCAGAAACTGTGGCCTGAAGTTATCAAGAATTATTTATATTATTCATTACATTTCCCATTTATTGAATTTTATTAATGTCTACCCAAACCCAAAACCCAACCAACCATCACAGTACTTTAAAATTATTAATTATACAGGGCTCGAAATTGCGACCATTTTGGTCGCATATGCGCCCGAAATTTTATCTATGCGACCTTAAAATATATTTAGGAGCATTTCTGCGAGTGCTTAAAATTGTTGTGTGCGACCAGTTTTTACTGCAAAATGTTCACCACATGCACGGATTCGGGAGACATTCACGCAGAATGCATCTCTAAGCTCTTTGTCTGCACTTGGAACGCGAAACGCAGCGCTCAGGAATGGTTTAAAACAGTTGTCATGTCATCTTGCTGCAGTAAACAAATCCAAGTCCGTAATGCTTGCCCCGCCTTCACGCTCTTCTTATTGGCCCACCACTGCTCTAGCACTGAACGCAAATGATTGGTTAATATCAGCTGTCAATCACTCAGTCAGCGCCTTCTGGCATCGGATGACAGGGAGAGCTACTACCGCGCGCGGAAAACTAAAGCGCTGAAGATGAGAATGAAGATAACGCGGACAGATTTAGTTTTAGAAACCATGGCATCCAAAGTTGTAAATAATGACACATCTTACTAGTGATCATGTGCTGAATGTTAATCCACCATCTACAGTTGTTTTCTAATACAATAAATCTGTTTTTATACAACTTGTAGTAACGGTGCTCATAATTGGTGGGTGCGACTAAATTTTGGCTGATGCGCCTAAATTTTTTAAGTTAGGAGCACCAGTGCTACCAAGCAAAAATGTTAATTTCGAGCCCTGTTATAGTTTTACAGTGTTACAAAAATGATGCTATATTGAGGGCGCAACTGCAGCTGTATCCTATTTAGGCCACACAAAACAGAAACATGATTAAAATACATGAAACCATTTCAGAATATTTGTACAAGTCGGGATTTGAACCCAAAACGTAATTCGAAGCACTGTATCTTCATGCACACGTACAGTCCACTAGACCATATGACACGGAGATCTGTCGACCTTGGCAGCTAAATGAAGATTCGCCAGGTCTCTAAACGCTTTTAAGCTGATCCATGCTTTGAATCAGTAAGTCACGTGACCAGGTGTTTCGAAACACTTTAGTCACGTGACTTGGGTGCTTCGGATCATGCTTCGGCGCAGTGTTTCGAAACACTTGCGCTCCGGGATCTCGATACTGTGTCGAAACGTCAGTTTCACGTCAGACATCCCTGCATATTGGATCTTACCTTCTGTTGTGTGTGTCACCCCCGGCGTTACAAAGAGTATGTTGTACAATAAGAGTATGTGAAAAATTACTTGCCTGAAAAGAGCAAATATTGATTTTTATTTGGTTTGCACGTGTACTTGCTGAATTATTTCAAGGAATAAACTACAATATTTCAAGAGTAATCAATGGAATTAAACCTTTATTATTTACTATACCAGAAACAAAAATATAACATTACTCATTATTCACAATAATTCATTATTGTTTTGTGTGCCACCCCAAGATTTCATGTGGCCTTACTTGGCCACCACTAAGAAAATTTTCTGGGGACGCCACTGCGCTGACATAAAAATAATATATTTTATAAAGGTCCATTCAGTCCACTAGTGAATGAAGGTTCACTGCATGTTCAGCTTTTTCAGTGGACAATGCCATTTTCAGGGTATATAGAGGAATCATGTAGGGAAATTCATTACCTTTTAAAGGGTCACGAAACACCAAAACACATTTTTTTGAGCTGTTGACAGTCGTATATGTGTCCCACACTGCTAAAAACACTATTAGGACACCTATATTTCACTAAAAAGTGTAAATTTGTTGTTTTTGCGTTATTTCAAGCAAATTCGTACTTCCGGTTTGAAACGAATTTTTGAAGCTGCGTCACGGTCATGACATAATAGCGTGTATTCCAGCGTGCAGACTGGACGTCTGTGCCAGAGTGTGTCTTATTACGCCTTACAGTGTGCTGCATTAATGCATGAGTAAGGCTTGGTTCAAACCAATCAGCGCGCTCTATTGTGCAACTTCATTAATATTCATTACTGTCACCGTGTTTACGCGAAAGAGACGCCACGTTGTATTGGCAAAACAAGCGTGAAGTGTTGCTTTTATAGTTTGCTGCAGTTAAGTTTTGTTTTCTTTTTCTCTCTGTGAGAGCTCAGACTCACGTGTGGATTAACAGTGTACGCGACGCTCGACAACAATAACTTACGTGTCTAAGGAGGATTATTGTTTACCTGAGAGCTGTTCTCATCTGCAAACGCTGAGATCGGATTCGCTTGTAGTCTTCTCTTCATAAAGACGCGGCTCTAGTTGCTGGTGATTGTCCTGTCTCTACAGATTTGGTAAGTGAGCGACCAGTGCTCTTTGTTTATTCAGTTCGTTCGTATCGAACTAAGTTAACTATTGCACCGTGTAAACATGTTAGCACCACAACCAAACTTTAACCTCGTGTAGGGTTTTAACCGCATTTTGTGACCGGAATAACACACGCGGCTTTCTGACGCTACCTGTCGTGTGCATCTAAGTTTCCGGGAAATTTTGAGTTTTTTTTTTCTCTCATTCGCCGTGCGGTATCAAACATTGCATGAAAAATACACGCTTAGAGCAGATCCTCGAATCAAATATCTCGTGTGTCGCGAGGGGCATGAATGAGTTCCCTGAATGAAAGAGCCAAACTGCAGTTAAAGTCACCCATTTAATAATTTGGCAAATAATTCGACTACAGATGTCCATGTAGGTTTAACACCAACACTT